ATGTTGGCGGATTTGAGCGCAGTTTCAATAGCGTACTCCGAAGGCTTGCACACAATCGGTGTTTTTGGCAACAGCCCGGACGAGCCCTCATTATTAAGCCGACAAAAGTGCCCAATAATGTCGAATATCTCACGGCCATCGTTCAGAGGCTGCAAGAAGCTCTCGTGAGTCGGGTTAAGCGTCTCGAAGCATATTATCCCTTCGAAACAGTCCTCCAATCCGAGTCGGTTCAAGACTTTCACGGCGTGGACTTTGTCAGCATTCGTGAAGATCTGTTTGTTTTACGGGACAATTGGAAAAAAAAAAAAAAAACGCCGATTATTATCATTTGGGATTACAAGTTTTTTGGTCGAGAAACCGACCGGCACAGAGCTCGGAAATGTACTTACGACTTTTCGAACGGGCAAACTCGGCAAGAGGCTTCGCAAGACCGGGTCCGGTTTCAGATTTTCATAAGGCAACCGCCCGTGGACGAAGCTGAAAACATGCCGAAATTCGGACATGTTAGTAATATAGTAATATAGTGTTTGTTTGAAAACACTTTTTCGAAACTCTCCCTTTTTTACATTCTTCCATCTTAAGTTTAGAGTTTTGAGTTACTTAGGGGGCGATGGGCTGCGGATTAATGTCGGTTTTGACTGATTGGATAATTTTTTTACCTTTTTAACTAAAAATTGAACTCGACTCTCATCAATATTATCAATATAATTAAATAATATCAATCAATAATGTTCACGCATCAAATCAACCCCAATTCACTATTCATCTAGTCATATATCTTTAACTACCTTATCGTTTCAAATAATATATCTCATATTTTTACATCACATCAACTTTAATCATTATATTTTAAATATTATTTAAATACAAATTCTAAATCTCACCCAATCCTTTACTTAATCAATTTTATTTAAAATTAACTTAACTCAAAATCCAAGTAAAACTGGTTTTGATTTATATCCAGTCGGTTATTTATAACGATACGTCAAGAACCTGTGGTACTCGTCGTAGTTAAAATCGTAGCCGATTGCCTGCATGGCGAAATTCGTCATTGTCCATGTGTTCCAACACAAAAACTGAAGATGGGAGCTGTCAAATGGCAGCCCGGCCCATTGGGCCAATGCAGGAACTTGGGCCGGCCGCATTTAGACAAGCTCGAAATTCGAATTAAAAGCATAGAGGCTTACTTACCCTTAGACCTGCCATTGTGGTTCCATAGTTTTTGTAGAGAAGATCACATAACAGAGGAATTTTGCTCTGTTCAATACCCAATTTTTCAACCATATAATCTGTATCATAAATGAAAGTAGAACACAAGTATTTACGGTTTGTTCTTCAAAATTTTTAAGTTATTTGCTAAAACTTTAGTGCAAAAACTTTAAAAATAATAGTGCAAAAACTTTAAAATAAACAATGATAATATAATTACCTTGAATGTTGTTAAGAACAGAGTTTGCTAGGCCAGAACTTAGGGGGTAAAGTGTATCATCAAGATCTATACATGCAAAAATAAAATAAATTAAAATAATTAAAAAAAAAAAAGTAAAGATTTTGAATAGTTAAGTTGAGATATGATTTGGTTCATAAATGATGACTAGCCGATTTAATTACCAAATAGAAGACACTCATATTTTGGCCTCTGAACTTGTCTGTAGAGACTATCCTCATATTCCATATTGATTAATTCTGGAAATTTAAATGAATTATAAACGAAACAAAAAATGTTCAGATGAAAATATGAATGGAGATGAAAATAATGTGGCTCAAGGGAATTTGTT